AAGATCGTGTGCAGATGCAATATTCCTTATAAAGAATTTTATGAGAAATCACTAAAGTATAATAGAGCAGCATTTCTGTGTCTGATTGCCTTAAAGAAATCGTTTCACAGTAAATAAGTGAGTAAGACTCAAAGATGTAATCAATCTTCTGTATAATTAAGAATAAATATTTTGTAAAATATTGTAAAAACTATCAAAAAATCAACAACAAAATGGAAGTCAAAATAAATAGACAACTTACAGAACCTATGGAAATAGGCAGCGGAATAAGACAAGAAGGTTCATTGAGCCCCATGCTCTTCAATTTGATTATGGATGAAATTATCAAACGCGTTAACAAAGGAAGAGGATACAGAATGGAGAATGGGAAACAAAGAAATAAAAATACTCAAAAGCCCAAGATGAAGATAGTCTACAAAGACTGGTAAACAGATTTAACATAAGACCAAAAGAATTTAATATGACAATCACATCTGAGAAAACTAAAACAGCAAAGTACCAACCAAATGTGAATTAGATATTGACGGCATCAGTATTGAATAAGAAATGGAAATAAAATACCTGGGAATTATACTGAGTAGTAATACACTATATGGCAAAACAGACACATTAACACTAAAATAAAGTCAAGAAATTTTAAAGCAAGTGTAAGGCCAAGGATGATATATGCCTCAGAAACAAGACCCGACACAGCCATAAAGCAAAGACTATTGGAAACGACAGAAATGAGAGTACTGAGAAGAATTACACGAAATACGCTGAGAGATGGATAAAAAGTATAAAAGGATGGACATAAAATAGAAAAAAAGAATGGTATAACAACATAAGCAGAATGCTGAAGACCGGTGTCGTAAAAATAGCAAGAGATAAATCACCAATCGGAAGAAGAAGTATCAGATGACCGCGCAAAGATGGAGTGATAACCTTCCATAGAGGTATTAATTCACCACTAAACAATGTGGTGCTTTTGAAAACAACTTTTGAAATGTGGTGCTATAGAAGAATTCTAAAAGTTTCCTGGGTGGAGAAGATTCGAAACTCCATAATAATAGAACATCTCAGCAAGACTATTGAGATCATAAAAAGCACCAAGCAGAGAAAGCTGCAGTATTTCGGACATGTAATGAGAGGTCCCAAATATAGGTTGCTACAAAATATCATGCAAGAAAAAATACCAGGCAAACGCAGTCCAGGACGAAGAAGAACCTCGTAGTTGAAGAACTTGCGAGATAGGTATGGTGTTGATAAAAGCATGCTATTTAGGGTGGCAGTGACTATGATGGTATTAAGAGAGCTATGATGGTAACCAACGTTCTGAAAGGACATGGTACATGAAGAAAAAGAATGAACAAGCAGATTGGCTTATAAAGACAAAGAAGAAGATAAAGAAAGAGAATTTTTAGATAGTCTAAACCTAGATCAGAGGATGACGAAGATGATGATGATGAGAATAATCTAAAATAAATATATATGTATTCAAAATTTACATCGTCTAATATAATCACGTTTACCTGTAATACATTTTTAATAATTTCAAGTTTAGCTGATGATTTTTCTTTATTATAGATATTTAGTGCGCTTATCTTGCCAATTTATTGGAACAATAAATATTTATTTGACCGATAATAAAACTTATTTTAAGTCACTTCACGTTGGTGAATCGTAGATGTGTCAGTTTTATTGGACGAATAACTTTATTCATTCAATAGACTGGCTACTCGTCGTCTGTGAAACCGGCCATTACTGGCACAAAATTTTCTATGCATTTATATTTAGATACTGATCTTTTATTTATACGATTTTTCGTAGCTTGAGTAAGTTTATCTTCCTTGTTTTTTTTTCCTGTATTGTATTTTCTATGAGCGTTTTCATTTACCCGTATTTATTTGCACGTTTTACACCTCTGTCTAGTTCATTTTATTTAGATGCTCTACTTTTGTAAGTTCCCATGTTATGTGGTTTTAATAAGCTACTTTATCTTTTATTGACGTCCACTTATTAAAACGTTTCTCTTTCATCATTATTTTCCTTCCACTTTAAATATTGATCAATATTTTTGCTCTAAACAGGCGGCTGTCACTCTTAACAGTCACATTATTCATCATTAATCCTCCTGAACATTGGCCTCCCATAAACTCCTCCATTATTTACGATTTTGTGCTCTCTGTTACCAATGTTTTTGATCATGTCGTCAGCTTAACGTGTAAGTGGTCTTCCTCTAGTACATTTGTTTGCTCTTGATCTCCAATTTGTAATTTTACTCATCCATCGTAAGTCGTGCATTCTCGCTACATGGCCTGCCAAGTTTCATTTCGGTTCGGCTATGTGTTCCACAACATCAGCAATACTCGTCCTTCTTCGCAGATCTTCGTTTATTATTCGGCCCCGCAACGTCATTCCCAGCATAGACAGTTCCATTCGTCTCTGTGCCACTCTCAATTTAGAAGCCTTAGTCTTAATTAGAGTCATAGTTTCCGCGCCATAGGTCATGACCGGTAATACGCATTGTCAAATACTTTTCTTTTGAGACTAATTGGTTGAGACACGCTAAAGTAATTTATGCTGTTGATTCTTATTTCATGACCCGAATACGTATATTTCCTCATCAGTTCCACCACTTAGTCTTGAATAGTTAAATGATTATTGGGGACAATATTTGTCATAAACTTAGTTTTGGTAAAGTTCATTCTGAGGCCCATCTTGGAACATGCAAAGTCCAATTTATTTAACACTTCTGTGGCTTCTCCTAAATTATCTTTGATAAGGACAATGTCATCTGCGAAACGGAGATGGTTAAGCTTTTCGCCGTCTATTTTTACTCCTCTGTGGTTCTAATTGCCCATCTTAAAGGAATACTCTAGTGCCGTTATAAATAATTTCGGTGACAATGTATCTCCTTGTCTTCATCATCATCATCATCATCATCATCAATCATCATCATCATCATCATCATCATCATCATCATCATCAACATGTATGCGTCCACTGCTGGACATAGGTCTCCCTCGGCTCTTTCCATCTGTCTTTGTCTTGTGCGGCTTGAATCCAGTTATCACTAACACGCTTCAGGTCGTCACTCCATCTATTTCGTGGGCGGCTCCGTATTGCTTCTTGTCTAGGTCTCTACTCTAAATTACATTTTATCCATCGGTTGTTTGATAATCTGGCGACGTGTCCTGCCCAATTTCATTTTAACGACGCGATTTTTTTGATAGCGTCTGTTGTTTTTATTCTACGACGTATTTTTTCATTTGGAATTCGGTCTCCCAGAGAAACACCTAACATCTGGCGCTCCATAGCCACCTGGTCACGCGAATCTTATTAACTATCTTTTTTGTGAGTGTAAATGTTTCCGCTCAATAAGTAAGTACAGATCACACATTGGTTAAAGATTTTTCTTTTGAGGCATATGGGTAGATCCTATTTAAATACATAGTTTAATTTACCAAACGCTGACCAAGCTAATCATATGCGACGTGGGAGCTCACATGTCTGGTTATCTTTGATCAACCGAATTTCATGCCCTAGTTATTTATACGATGTAGTCTGTACAATATCCCTTGTATCATCAGCAATACTTCAATTTAGTAAAAGATTAGTCATTATTTCCGTCTTATTTATATTAATCTTTAGTCCGATCTCCAAGGAAATGTGATATAATTTTTTAAACATTATTATTGCGTCAGGCATACGATCGGGTATAAGGACGATGTCATCTTCTTCTTAGAGTGCCGTCTCCCTACGGAGGTTGGCAATCATAATGGCTATTTTTATTTTAGAACTTGCGGGTCTAAACAAATCAATCGATCTGCATTGGTACCAATCACGTAGATTCTTTAACCATGAGTTCTGCCTTCGGCCAACAGATCTTCTTCCTTCGATGTCATCTGCAAATCTCAAATGACTAAGCTTGTCTTAATTTATGTTAATACCATGCTCGTTCAGATGTGCTTTCTTAGAAGTATGTTCTAAAAGCGTCGTGAATAGCTCCTTGCCTTATCCCACATTTATTTTTTATTGGTCGAGTTTTATCGTGTATCTTAACAGTCATAGTGGCACTTTTGTAAATATTGTAAATAAGTTCACTATACCTATGGTCAATTCTGATCATAGTTCATGATATTGTCATTCATTGCTAATGTCTATTTCGATCGTGTCGAACGCTTTAAGAAAATCTATGAAAGTGAGGACAAGAGATTTCTTGTATTCTATAGATTTTTTATCGAGGGTTTTACAGTATGGAGGTGATCGTTGACATCCTAATTTCTACGGAATCCTGCCTGCTCGTTCGGTTGGTAGAAATCTAATTTTTTCTCCAATCTTGATGTCACTAACTTAATAAAAAAAAGTAAAGTTCGTGTAACCTTCTGGCTAAGGTCTAGAGTTAGTGTTTTCAGGTCGCGCAAACGCTCCTAACATGACTTAACGACTACTTTCGTAGCCAGGCCTGACGGCTTTACGTGCTCTTCGAAGCACGGTGACAGCTTAGTTAAATTAGAAATTGAAAATTTTGTCTGTGCCGGGCTACGAACCCGGTCCTCTGGCTTGTTAAGCCAGTAACATGACTCTGAGCTACGGCTGCCACTAACTTAGTGAGGAGCTTGTATGTGGTTCAACAGGCCAATAGGTGTATAATTTTCTGGATGACACTAATAATTAACTGATATTACAAGCCCTAACACCTTTTAAATAAGATAATTTGATCATCTAATCGTCGATAAGTTAAATATTAGAAAGCTTATTTTTGAGCAATATTAAACATGAAATTTTCACAGACTGCGTCTTTCACAAAGTACCTCTTGTTAATAGTTACGAATCCTATTTATCTAGGAAGATGAAGGTATAGAATAAATTATAAGGCAGTAGTATCTATATAATTCTTTTTTTCCGGAAATATCTACAACTTATCTGATGGACCCTGTACAGCGACGCCGGGATGCGCACTAGACATCGGCGTCGCCGTCTTAACCGCTGGACACTGGGGACGCTCAGACAAAATTAGTCATCCGCCGGCCTGTATGCAGCAAAGTTATTTTTGATCGATTTTGAAATCCTTTAAACTGTAAGTAAAACATTCAATTTTACGAAATTTTTGAAATATTTTGAGTATGACAGATTCTTACCAATTTTTTTCACCGGTACTAATAAAAATGTGTTTTTATTAAGCGTTGAGTTGCCGTAGTGTCAGAAATCGTTTGTCTTGACAGAAATTCAACAAAAATAAAGGATTTTCCGTGGACCTATAAATAAGTTGCAAAAACAAAGCTGGGATTGAGTTTCGTTACAGTTATTTTTAACGCGGAGCATATTTAGGGGATTTCAAATAATTATTTCGAACATTACTGCATTCCAGTTGCATCTATAGATCTATATTTTGTTGCAAAAGACACTAAAAAGTGTGTCATTTGTCTAAAGTTTAATATAATTTTAAAATCAATCCTATTTTTAACAACATAAAAATTTGCTTTAAAAATATTATTTAGCCCTTTTAAGTTACTTATTAAGCTTTAACTATTGTAGACATTTTTTATATTCTCTTGTTTATTGTAGCCTATTGTTATGTATGGACTTTTTTTTATAATCCTTTCTAAGAATAATACCACAAAAACAAAGAAACGCCACATTTTTAACGTTAATGATTTCAAGACGTTCAACGTTATTGATTAGAATAATAGCAAATAAGGATCATTATTTGTGTTGTCTTTAACAATTTGGCATTTTTTCGTAATTTTCTAAACACCTATCTTTTTTTGTATCTCCGAACATCTTATCCTTTGCAGTGGGCCTTCTCGTACCATTTTGTGCATGAATTTTAAAAGAATAGATAGCAATAAAAAACCTTTTTGCCATATATAATAAAAACTAGGAGTGAACTAACAAATGCATATTTTATTGTCTTTTAAAAACTGTTTAACAATATCGTTAATAGCCTTAATATTAACGTATAGTATACATTTAACTCCCATTGCTAGAAATACTGATTGTTCTGAAACTCTGCTGATTAATACATTACATGCCGTTAGTTTTTCATAATTTTCTTAATTCAGAATCGTGTTTTGCCTTACGATTTATTTATTTACTTCCTAATAGTGTACCGGGTGGTCCAATAAGCCGATCTCTCGGTTATATATCTGAAAATATTTATGATATAACTTTAGGAGAAAAAATACCTTAGTAAAAGTAACCAAGAGAAATCGCTGGAAATAACTTTCAAGTTTCAGGGTTAACCGCTAAGGGGCGTAACCTGTGAAGAAAAATTTGAAAACCAGTTTTTTGTGAAATATGCTCAATTATACCAAGTGTTAAATACGTAAACTAGAAAGAGGCATAAATTCCGCATAAAGTTGTTTAAGTACTTTTTTTTCAAATAAAGGGTGGGGGAGAGTGGGAAAGTATTTGTGGATAAATACCTATAACTTTAATTTGCATCAACCGATTTTAACGAAACTAGTGTCATTAGAAAGAGTGTGGATGATTTAATTTACATCTACTATAAAACAAACATCTACTATATAACATTTAGTTTTAATTGTCATGGGTAGAGGGTACTTTCGATTGGAAAAAATTAAAATTTGTTTTTCTTTAAAATGTTTAATGGAAACACCTATTTATTGTAAATTAAAATGGAACTGGAATAAATTCGTAACAAAATGGCGCAAACCGCATGTTAATAGTTTTTATCGAACTTGAGATATGCATAAGAACGCATAAACATAAGTAAGTATAGTATTGACTCACCCTTTATTATAACTTAAAATTAAATATGTGAAAGATTATTAAAATATCTCGATCATTAAAACTTAATGTCCAATTAGATGTTCAAATTGTTTTCCATCGTCGTCCACACAAAGATGTAATCTTTCGCGCGTAGACATAACAGCTGCTTCAATCACAGCTGTTGATATACTATTTATTGCGTTTATAATGCACTGTTTCATGTCATCTCGCGTAATTAGTCGAGTTTGGTACACCAAGTCCTTCAATCTTTCCCTCAGATAAAAGTCCAGACATGTTGAGTCTGGAGATCTAGCTCGCCATGAAAATATACTTTCCCTTCCAATCCATTTATTTGGATAACTTGCATACAAATAATCTCGAACTCGTCCGGAGAAGTGCGCGGGACACCCGTCATGTTGTAATATCATACCTATTTATCTTTTCTTGTTTGTAAGGAAATACCTTCCAACAAAACAGGCAACTGATTTTCCAGAAAATCCAAATATGTTTAGCCATTTAAAGTTCTATCACACTATCATCTTTTTTTCAATTATACCACACCAAACATTAAGACTCTATCTACCTTGAACCTGCACGTCATGTATCCCGTGCGGACTTTCTTCAGCCCAATAATGCATATTACGCAGATTAACACCACCCGCACTAATAAACGTAGCCTTGTCTGTCCAAAATATTTGGCATGATATGCGGTTGTTCTTCTAGCAGACCTAACATCCGATTGCAGTAATCCAACCTTGCATCAAAATCTCTCTCATGTAAAGCTTGGTGGAGAACTATATGATAAGGATGTAGTCTATAAAACAGAAAACAAATATTGGCGAAAAAGAAACCAATATATTTACTAAAACTCAAAAAATCTTGAAAAATCCACAATTGTTTCACAAGATAAATCGTGCATAAGTATTTTTAAGAAACGGATAAAAATATAAAAGTGCCGTGTTGCATTTTTTATCGGAATATTAAAATAACAGTTGAATCTAAAGTTTAAAGGGAATTCCAAGTTTTTGACCTAAACGTTCACTTTATAATATGAAAAACCAACCTCTAATGTTTTAAAATCCTTAGCACAGTAGTTTTGGGTATGTTTAACTCTACAGAGATTTGCCGACTACTTATATGTGGATTATGTTGAATTAAAGCAAGAACATTGATTGCATTATTTTCTGTCATACGTCTACTACGTCGTTTAGAACAAGGACGATGAAAACTACCAGTTTCTCTTAATCTTCTTGCCTTTCTTTCAAATACTTCTTTGCCATAATGTCTCCTATCAGGATATCTTACAGAATATATACGTGAGGTAATAGCGGCATTTTGGTGACATTCGAAATAAACTCCAATCATATCATACAATCCTGCATTTGATATACTCATCACGAATTATTAGTACTGATAATTAATTACTAATATTACCAATATTAATATTTATTAAAAAAAGTGCAATCTTCATTTCAAATTATAATATAACACTTCTTAACAATGTGTTGACTGCTGTCAATAAATAAACAATATGTTTATACATATTGTATAAACAATAAACAACTCTCCGTCAAATTCATTGTCGTAGCCTACTTAGTTTCGAAAAAACTAATTTTAATCATATAAAATAACAATGGTCAAAATTGGTATCAACATTAAGATTCCTCTGCTATAAAAAAATTTGAAAGTATCTACTGACTTATTTCCTAATTGAATTTATAATACAGGGTGAGTCAATACTAAACTTACTTATGTTTATGCGTGTTTATTCATATCCCGAATTCGACAAAAGCTATTAACATGCGGTTTGCTCAATTTTGTTACGAATTTAATCCAGTTTCAATATAATTTACAATAAATGGGTGTTTACAATAAACATTTTAAAGAAAAACAAATTTTAATTTTTTCTATTCGAAAGTACCCTATACCCATGACAATTAAAACTAAATGCAATTGTTTTATAGTAGATGTAAATTAATTTATCCACACTCTTTCTAATGACACCACTTTAGTTAAAATCGGTTGATCTAAACCAAAGTTATAGGTATTTATCCACAAATATATTCCCACTCCCCCCATCCTTTATTTGAAAAAATAAAAAAAAGTACTTGAACAACTTTATGTAGAATTTAGGCCTCTTTCTAGTTTACTTATTTAACACTTGGTATAGTTGGGCATATTTCCCACAAAACTGGTTTTCACAGTTTACGCCCGCTAGCGGTTAACCCAAAAACTTGAAAGGTATTTCCAGTATTTCTCTTTGCCACTTTTACTTAATTTTTTTTCCCAACGTTATACCACGAATAGTTTCTGATATATAGCCGAGAGATCGGCTTATTTTACCTGACGGTACAATAATCGAGATCCCTTTTTATGAAAATGAAGTAACTGTTAACATCACCAGAACTGTCACATACACTAAGAATTAGTGCAACGTTATATTCCCAGTTCTCCTATATGCATTAGAACGTGGATTCTGCCCAGTTTTATAGTCAATAAAGAAACAACAACAAAGGTATAATCTTCTGAGCTCTTTGTTTTTTGTACTTTACTAAAGTAAATAATTGATTGTTCGTTTCTTGGTATGATTCTTCTCTTCTGATCTTATGTATCTTTTTTTCTTGGAAATGTGTATTAATGATCATGTTATTGTCTTAACAAAAATTCAAGTAATAGGTTTCTATTATTATACATATATGTCTACAAACATCAGCATAAGGTAAAGCCGCTAATTTTTTATAACTTTTGTAAAAATTAACTAACAATTTTGTAATTGCTTTCAAAGAGAGATGTTGTACGGCTCTAGTGTAGTAACCCTCAAAATTTTAAGTTGATCCATGAATTGATTTATTAAAATTGTTAATCCCAAAGGCTATTTTTCGTAATAACATAAGGCATAAAATAATAGACAGTCATTTTATGGGTACTACATGAAAAGTGAAGAATTTTTACTTTTAATGCACCGTGCTCCAAAAATCGCTTTGCAAAGTTACGGTTAATCTTCGTAGATGACATATTTTTTTCATATTTGAAAAGCTGACAATTTTTACATAAATATAAACAAAAGTTATTCTAGGACGATTAAGTAAAAACTGGGGATTTTTTTTATTTGCAGGTAATTTGTTTATAATATTTAAGAAATGTAATGACTGTTATTTTAAAGATAAAAGAGTTTTCTTATACCAGAACATAAATTTAAATACAATACAAAATTTGAATATTTTGGGAAATAATTTTTATTTAATCTTTTAAACAAATTGCATTGTTTATTTAATTATAATATTTTTAACACATTCCACATTTGTAATTTATGCAAAAATTAAAAGTAAAGTAAAGTAAGTATCGTTCAAGTTTAATCGCTTTTAAAATTTGTATTCTGAAACTTTCAGTCTTTAATGCCTAATTGTCTCTTTTGTTTAAATTTATATAAAATTTGTGAGCTTTTTAAGCTGAAAAATAAAGACTGACTGACTTATTAAAAATAAAGAAATATTTCACTTGCGAGTAACACATAAATAATTATTCCAATTGTTTATAAGTTCAAAATAACAGTAACTTTGCAAACAAAAATTTTGATTACAAAAATGATTTTTACCTTTTTTTTGGCGCGTATTAAAAGTAAACATCTTTATCTTTCATAGCGTACCTGAAGAATTACCGCATCTTCTTTATTTTGTACCTTATTTTTCTCCTTCATCTTCTTCTTCCTCTCTATAAGCAATTCTGATTTTGGCGGATTAACACCTCTATGGAAGGTTGTCACTTCATCCTTTGCGCGGGCGCGTCCGATACTTATTTTGCCGATAAGTGACTTATTTCTTGCTATTTTGATGATACGAGCCTCCTCTATTCTGCTTATGTGGATATTCTATTCTTTTTTTCAATTCTGTGTCCACTTATTTATACACTGTACGTTACATTTTCTTCTAATGTCTTCACTGCTTTTTCGATCTCTTCGCGTATTTCCTGTAATTCTTCACAGTACTCTTATCTCTGCCGTTTCCAGTAGCCTTTGCATTGTGGCTGTATCGGGTCTTGTTTCTGAGGCATATGTTATTATTGGCCTTACACTGGCTTTATAAATTCTTGACTTCATCTCAATGTTAATGTGTCTGTTATATAGTGTTATGAGGGCATCCTGCCAGTCTATTTGCTTTTTGTACTTGATCTCTCACTTCTTTGTCCTGGTCTCAATAGCCTGACAGCATAATTCCTAGGTATTTTATTTACATTTCTTGCATCATTATTTACATTAATACTGATGCCATTAATTTTTATTTTACATCTGGTTGGTACTTTACTGACTACTATTATTTTAGTTTTCTGAGATAAGATTGTCATATTAAATTCTTTTGGTATTGTGTTAGGTCTGTGGACCAGTATTTGTAGACTATCTTCAACTTGGGCTATCAATATTGCGTCGTCTGCGTAACATAGTATTTTTATTTCGTTGTTTCCCTTTCTATATCCTCTTCCTTTGTTAACGTGTTTGTTGATTTCATCCATGATCAAATTATAGAGCATGGGTCTCAGTGAACCTCCTTGTCTTATTCCGCTGCCTATTTCTATAGATTCTGTAAGTTGTCCATTTATTCTGATTTCCATTTTGTTGTTTTGGTAGATGTTTTCGATAGTTTATTTAATATTTAAGGAAACTTCTTTAAAATACAGAAGATGGATTACATATTTAAGTCTTATTCTGTCAAACGCTTCCTTTAGGCCCATCAGACACAGAAATACTGCTCTATTATACTTTAGTGATTTCTCAGTAATTTTGTTTATAACGAATATTGCATCTGTGCACGATCTTTCACTACGAAGACCCTGTTGTTCATCTTCTAAACTTATCCACTGATTTATTAGCACTTGTAAAATTTTAGTTGTAAGTTTAAGCGTAGTATTTAACAAGTTTATACCTCTCTCGTTTTCTGGCTGTTTTTATCTCCTTTTTTGAATAGTAGAATTAGTTCGTTCCTTCTTCATTCTTCCGGTATTTTATTGTGTTTTATAATTTTATTAATTAATGTTGTTAGTTCTTCAGTATTTCAGTAATTCGTTTGGTATTCCGTCTTTACCTGCTGCTTTTCTAATCTTCAGGTTTTTAAGTATTATCCGAACTGGAAACTACCGAATATATTATATTCGGTAGGTCTAAAAATAGGTCGTAATCTATTTTTCATACCCCTGTGAGGTAAGAGCGGTTCACCCCAAACATTTCTTTTTATTTTTTGGATAAAATGTTTTATTTTTATTTTTTTATGATGTGGGATTAAATAATACCTACAAACTATAACTTTCAACCCTCTAATACTAACCCCTATTTTTTAATAGCCATATTAGTATCGCAGAGTTTGTCACAATTTTTTTCATGCATAATATGTTTGAATATTTTTTTTGGTTTTATTTTCTACTAATTTTTTAGACATGTTATTTAATTCTGAAGTGGTACGAAGTTCGCTGAGTCAGCTAGTTGTTAATAATTGAAGGCCTTGGAATGTCAAGGTGCTATGTTACAAATAACTGAAAATGAGATAATCCAGGTTAAAATTTTTTTTGGTTGCATTTTTACAAGAACCAGTTAAAAAAACTCAAATTTTGAATCTAGAATTTTTTGGATAACAAAAGTTCTTAAGAGTAAATTTTTTGAAAAATATACATTTTACCCTTTAAAAAAAATTCAAATAGGTAGATAGCACCTTTGTCCACCAATCTATTAGGATTTAAGGTATATGAAAATAAGTACATGGTGCTATGTGTAGATCAGAAGACAAGCCAAAGTCACACATTAGAGCTATATTTTATTTAAAATAAATCAAAATAACATTCTACTAGTCAATGCAAAAATGGTATACAAATATGTAGGACGCTACCCTTTTTAATTGCCCTGCAAAATTACTTCGTAATGACATCTGTGTTCAAGCGGTCCATATGGCAATAACTGCTTGTTGTATTCTTTTTTCTCTGTAGACAAACTGCCAATCTTCTTGTTTATTCTTGAAACTACAAAGTTTGGGGATATAACACACATAGTTTTATTTGTCTTATTGGTAGACCTATAAAGTTGAATATCCACTTTCTTGAACGGCATATTGGGTTCGTAGCTATATTTAAACAGATAACACCAAACACATCTATCCTTATTTATTTGATGCCAGCTCTAAATTGAAGAGTCTCTCCAAGAAGATCCTTTTTCCGGTTTACTAGTTTTAGAGATGTAGCTAATTCCTCAATGTTTCTAAAATGGGGTTCCATATTTATAACCTGGTTTCTTTTGGTTGTTTGCAGTATTATCTGTCGATACTTATCTGGTAAGAATAAATTAGGCTGTTTTCGTAGATTCTTTTTGATGCGACCAAAGTCACGATCTGAGTCTAGGTAAGAGTGGCCCACCTCTGGAAATTTATAGTCTATAGTTTTGAAGTACTCTTTCAAAATCATGTACAGGTACAGACAAATAATCTGGAAATTATTTTATTTTGTACAGCACAAGCGTCGAACCATACTTGCAGATGATTTTTTTCTCGAAGTGTTCGATCACTTTCAACCGCAGTCAACAGTGAACTTGTAACTTCTGTACTGCCACGATTTGCTACGTCTTCTGTCCAGGTAAAAAAAAGGCCCCTGTCTACATTTTTTGAAATTATATGCAGGCCGAGATTGTAAAACCACATCTGTCGTTTATAAAAAGCTTTTGATGTAGACAAACGAGTCAATGGCATAGTCTGTTGCAGATCCATAGTGACATCGTTGAACACATTGGCACCTTCCCTGTCAGCTTTTTGAGCCTTAAATGCAGATTTATAAAAATCAATATGTTCTCCTGAACATTGTTGACTATCACATGTACTACATGTATCACTATTAGGTTGTTCAATGGATACATTGAACTCGTAATCATAAATAAATCTGTACATGGACTCTTTTAATAAGAATTCGTCTGAAACTTGGTTTAGTCTGCATTGTTCAATGTAAAGTTTCTACATTTTAGGTACGGACAACAACGGTGTTAAGTATTTTTTGTTTGGATTGTTGGCTTTAGAATAATGAGACAACTAAGGAGGAAATGAAGCAATATGTTTCATAATATATTTTTTTACATCTAGATCAAGTTTAGTAGGCCTGTTGTTATGCTTGCCTCGTTTGTCTAACTCCGGCGTTGACAAACCTTTTTTAATCTGGTTTTGGATAAGAAATACTTTCTTTCTGCCTATTTGGTACAATTACATTATGGCTGATTTACAAATTGGCACATTAGTTTTATTTACTGTAATACTGTGTTAAGAGATGCAGTTTTATGTCTCTTTGCACCCTTATGTTTTCGCTGAGGTTCACTTATGGAAATTGATTTAAAAAGAATTACATTTTCCCGTTAATATCATGTCAGTAGAAGTCATTTAAAATTGATACTTTTGTATCTTGTTTAATCCTAGTTGAACATTTTAATCGACATTTCTCATTAGAAATAATATTATCCTCAATAATGCGCTTGGCAGGAATCACTACACCTTTACGAGATAAGCAACTTTCTCCACATTCTCTTGCTTTAGCAGCCACATTTCTTTTCCATTGTTGCTTGTTTTTCTGGTCACTATTCATAGGGCTACTCACCACTCTATCCTCAACCCACCTGCTGTTTGTAATTGAAATGGGAATTTGTATGTTTACCACATCACTCTCTGCATCATACTGTGGACGTTTTTTTGCTGTAGAATTTGTACTTGATAAAAGGGATTCTAAAACATTAGTCTCATCTCGACAAGAAAGAAACCTTCTAGAAGACGAAATGCGAGTACATCTTGTATAATCATCATCACCATTATACTCACTATCACTAACGATATCTAAGTCCGGTATAATCCGACAAGCGAGAGCTGGCGGGTGAGCTACGCGAAAATAGAAAAGGAATTATTCTAAGAGAGATAGGAGAGGTACTTAATCGCGATTATAGGTATATAGTATAGGTACTTAAACGGTTATACACGATGTGAACTTCTAGCCGACTGCAATAGAAATAAGCAATTCCTTCCACTTTTCAATTTGTTCTACGCGCAACCCGCCAGCTCTCGCTTGTCGGGTTATACATATTCATCACTTGATGGATCGTCGAAAATGCAACTAACATCTTCATTTTCATCTGAAACCAAACAAATATAGTAGTCTATATCATTGTTCTATAAGATTATAAATTGCGTTCATTTTGTTATTTAATAAAATATTGTCTACTTTAACTTTTAACATAACCTGAAAATCTTTGATGGGACAAAAACAATACTTTAATTTATTTGTAATGGTAATTTACTGTATTATATTATTTTAGGTCAGCTATTTCATCAAGCTTACCTTTATAACTTTCTTCTTTTGCCTGTATAAGAGCCAATTCTAATATTTGTTCACTTCTTCTCATCTTGCACTTTATATTAAAACATCAACAAAGCACAGTGACTAAGTGGATGAAGGTGTTATGTGCATGCTGACGACACATGGCATCTTCTTCCTTTCAAACATTCTGCATATTAGTGTATCAGAACCCCTTCACCAGCTAAATAAATACCAAGTTATGGCTAGAAGTAAATGGGAGCTAGTGATATGAGAAATAATAACACATAACGCCTTCATCCATATAGATATCCCAATTTTCAAACAAATGTAACTAACACCTTCACTTTCCAAGACCTTCAATTCAAAAACCACTCCCAAATTTTTGTAGAAAACGTCTAGGGTTTCTTACTGTAGGTATCTAGTAATGGAAAAACTCGTCACGTATCTAGCTATTGCGTAGTCATAAGAAAAACGTATTTCCCCATACTAAATTGTTTTTTTTTGTTTGATTGTTTTAATTCAGTTTGATGTATGATTAATTTGAAAAATTGAAACTAAAAAATGTTTTTTATTATTTATTTAATTTTGGTTTCATCAAAGATCGAAAAAATGAGTTTCTTGAGTTTTCTCTTCTAAAGCACTTCCTTTACATATTTATAAAATTACTTATTTTTTTCTGTTTATTATTCTTTTAAATATTTGCCAATATTTTCATTTTGTCTACTCACTTCTGGTGTACTTAATATTCTGCAATTCATCTATATATTGCTTATAAATAATAATGCGTTATTAATACTTTTTTATCATATGAGTTATATTAATATTAAGGCATATTATTCCCATATTGTAATTAACTATATCTAGCAAAAAACAAACATCGGGTTGCATTATTTGCATAATAAAAAAACAATTTTTATATGAAGTATAAAATTAAATATAACTTGATATTGATATTAGGAAAGATAAGTTGTATGTGTGGTATTAATAAAAACTAATTAAATACCACCATTAATTGTCCAATACAAATTTTTACAATTAAAGTTGGTTTTTAATGCAACCGATTTCGATCAAACAAGAGGAAGTTCCAATAAAAAAATTGTTTATACGTATTAGTCCAGCCGTCAGAGATTTGATCTCTAAAAATAAGACGAACTTGCTGAATTTTTCTGAGAATGTCAAAGAAGATTTCTTCTCCGAGGCTTCCACCTTGAACCCCCTCTCGTACGGGGGACGTAAAACATCGATTTACATAGAATCTGTACGCCTAGAGAAACATGTTTTAAATGAGAAAGACAGCTGAGATAATTTTTAATAATAATGTTTATACTCCATTCCACGAATATACGACTGTTTTAAATTTTGTTTAAGGTATCGATTAAAATGGTCCAATGTACTGAATTGTACAATAGTAAATTCTCCTTATTTTTAAAATAGTGATATGACAGATATAAACCTTAGATTTAAATATGAAGTCATGATATAAATATAGAGTTGATAGTTTATAGAACAGTTGTAATTCAGATTTTAAAGTATATGATTACTATCATTGAGTTTAGTATTGTAAGCAAGTTGGTTTTTGAATTAAGTGATTTAAACGAAGTGTAACAATAATTAGGTGATTAAATAGTGTAATTTATTTAGTCCAATATTCAATTAGTATTAAAAAAAAAAACAAAAAAAACTTACTTATTCTCTAATTCTCCTAACGTCCTAAGACTATCATCAACCATCAGATTCACAGAACTTTACAATGAGAAAGTACATTAAATATAAAGTTGTCTATATCTAAAAACGTTTTGGCATTTTTGGCTTCAATAAACAAATATACTACACTAAACTCTTTCTTAACGGCACCTCTCTTCACCGGACACCTCTATACGGATGGTTTTTAAAATTGAAATCACTCGGCGATATATGAAACTGTATGTAAATTTTCGTTACTTTTTAATCTGTAACGACTCGGTATTTTAACTATCAATAGTTGGTATGTTATACCCGTTACTTTCGAAACTTTTAAGAGTACATCCACGCAAAGCAAACAAGTATTTAAAACTAACAAGATGAAATATTAGATCCTTTTTCTGTTTTCTGGTTTCTGAACCATCGTTCTGCCACGTTCTGCCAATTTCTTTTCATTTATATTGAAAATAGTATATTTCTTTTATTACAGTTGCAGTACCTAATAAAGCAATAAAATAGTGTAATATCAAAAAAAACCGGCACGCCTCTTTGGTGTTTATATTTCACGGAAACCCAACCCAAATGTCTTATGAACACATTTTTGCTTTATAGACGTCATTTATTTTTAGGACCGTTTGCGTAAAATTTTTTGTTATTTTCGGACTAAATTTCACAATAAATTTTGCACTTTGAAAATAAGGCTATTATCGAGCACAAGTTAATTAAATCTAGCCCAAGTACTTTCGCTTAAAATAGCATCTTCAGGGGCATTTCGTCAAAATGTAAACTATCCGGCAAGCGTAGAATATGGAAACATTAAAAATAACATAAATTGTACAAAACACTACACTAAAACGAGGACAAACAGTTTAAAATTACTTTTACGCTACATTCTCTGTCAGTATCTGGAGGGATCCCTCCAATTTACTTTCAAACTTCTACTTGCAGAGTAAAATATTCGTTGTCGTAATAATCCAAAACAGCAGTATATTCGTGGAATAACCTATATTAGCTCTTTTTGTGTAGAATAAACCGTTCTCTTGCAAACAAGGCTTGAAGCGACCGGTGATTCGATGGTGAAAAATCGATGTCTTTGGATCGGAGTATTCCATCGACAAAAATCAGAACGCTGTTAAATAAATTGCGTTGCGCAATTTTTGCTATTTTTACGATTCTTATGGGATCAGTAAAATTTATCACTTCCACTCTAAAATTTCCATTTTTTAGAACCTAATGTTCAAAATTTATAACATTAAAAATCGAGTTTGTGTTTTGGCAATAAATATAAGGCATTTAAAATTTGACTAAAAATGCACTTAAACTTAAACGTTCTCACATTACAAACGATCTCATAGTCACAGGAGATGCTTTCACGAAAAAGGTATTAAGTGAAATTTGCAGCTGAAGTTACATAGTTTCAAAGAACGTATTTGAGTAGTTAAAAAGAAGCGGTTTTAAACGTTTTAGAATGTTTGTAATATAAAAGTTTAAATAAAACGTTTTTAGGCATATTTTAAATGCCTTATATTTTTTGTCAAGACTAGTGATGTGAGTTGTAAAATTACATAACTTACGTTACATAAATTACACGTAACTTACGGTAATATTACATGATACCCGTAACTTAATGTAATTTATGTAATTTTTGGAATTTACGTAATTTATGAAATTTAACGTAACTTATGATAAATTTACATAAATTACCGTAATTTATGTAATTACTGGTAAAATTACATATATTATGGCAACTTATGCGCGCGCAATTGTCGTAAGTGCGGTGCGCCGGTGCCGGCGCGCGCGAACCAGTGGGTGCTATTACGCTCGTCGCTCGTTAGTCGTTCCTTAGTCTGAGTCAGGCAGGTTATGTTTACATTTCTGTTATTGTATGTGTAATGTGTATGTATAAGTTAGTTTTCGACTGTTCTTTCTCTATTCATTCACGCAGCGTTGGTTACTTTACATTTATTTATAAGGAAGCACAGAAACTATAAGGTAAGAAATATATTATTTCTACAAACAGCAAAACACGTGCCGGTGATGTCCATAGCAACCTTAGATTGGGAAACACAGGGGCGGGCCTATCGCATATCGACTGTACGTTAAATCTAACGCGCGTCATTTTATATGTGGCTACAGTACTTAATTCTGAATTCGGTTTACCAAGTTTTATTCGATTTTTTAGATTAGTTTACTGTACAATAACTATAAGAATGATAGGAGCAACGGGGTACTTGTGCATGTAGCATGTGTAATTGAATTACACTGACATAACTTACTAAATAAAAAATTTTGATAACGTTGAGGGCAAAATAATGTAGTTGTCCGATCCAGTATTCTGCTTATTCGAATTTCATTAAATTGTTACACAGATTCAATTTTAATCTTTCTTCTATTTAAGGATGCCTAACAATTTTTTATGCCCTCGTGCCCATCAAATACTTTGAAAAATAATGTTTTTTCCCTTCTTAATGTTTAAGTCTACCTGAATATTTTTTTTAGGTCATAAAACATGGTGAAACGTAAGACAGATATCTGGCTTTATTTTGAAGTGTTACCTGCGGGTTCTTCTAATCAAAAGACCATAAATGTGAGGTGTAAATTTTGCAAGAGTGTACATGCAAAAAATGCTACAAGAATGAAATCTCATCTTCAACAATGCACTTATGTGCCGCATATGATAAAACTTAAATTCAATATTTTAACTCCAAAGTCAAAGGGGAATCACTCTAAATTTCCATTTGAAACATCCATGAAAAAGATCACATCGGCAAAATTGGATAACGATAACACTGATGCTGCTTGTACATCATCAACGGTTTCCACAGCATCAACATCTGCTTCTGATAACATTCATGTGGAAACACCTGTTTGCACAAAAATCAACAGAATACAATCATTTTGTGATCGAATGACACACGAACAAAATAACGAATTGAATATTTTGCTTGCTAGAGCTATTTACACCAGTTCAGCACCACATTCAATTACCGAGAATGAAGATTGGAAATTGTTTTTTAAAAAAATTAGACCTTCATACACCTTACCATCGAGATATATGTTATCAAATCGTCTCCTGACCGAAGAGTACGAGCGAGTTGAAGTTCAAGTTAATGATAAAATTAAGCAAGCTGACAATTTATCATTGCAATGCGATGGTTGGTCCAACTTGCGAAATGAAAGTGTAATTAATTTCATTGTTACAACACCCGAACCGTTATTTGTCAAATCAGTACTAACAAAAGCAGAGAAGCATACCGCAGAATATATAACAAAATTAATGGTTGAAGTTCTGGAGGAGTATGGACCTAAAAAATTTTTCGCTATTGTGACTGATAACGCAAAGAATATGAGGAAGGCTGTGAGACAATGTGAAGAGATGTATCCCCATCTTGTATCATACGGCTG